CCCTATCTTGTATCTTCAATACTGGGAACAGAACAGTCTACAAAGTAAAACAATTCAACTGGAAAACAGACACATTTTGTGACTGGCACTCCCCGAGGCATTCCCCTGGGAAGGTTTGTTCCAGCAGCACTCCACCAATGGGTCAGGGGCAGGTCTTCATGTATGTGCTGCTGCCTGATCTGATTCCCACAGTACTTGGTATTTTGAAATGTTGTCGAGTTGGTAAGGAAGATGGTCATGGTAATAAGAAAACAGAAATTCAAGTGAAAAAATCTTCAGAGCATAAAAAACTGAGTATCTAAGCAATGATTCAAGGAAGTTCATGGCATTGTTTATAGAAAGATAAGATGTGCTTACATGCTGGTCTGTTCACCCACAAGCTTCACATTGTGAAAACAATAATGACTGGCTAACACTGAGATACACAAGAGTGTGCGCAGTTCTTATTTAAATATGTGTGAGATGGAAAATCAATATTTTCTTTTGCCTTGAACAAAGAACTTGTTCTGAACTAAATCATTGTGATGTGATATTTCTTTTGTTCAGTTCCTGGATACATAATTTAATGATATAACAGCAAAGACATTTTAAATACATGAATGTTATAAGGATTGACATCTTACAGTAATTCACCTATTCAGACAGGTTATTGTTCACTAGATAAGTAAGTGCTAATTGCCTGCTGCTACAGCAACTAGCTTTTGTGTTCCTTCTAAGTACCAAAGAATCAAAAAGCAAAGATGAACAAGTCAGAACATGTCAAGGAGTTAAATATTAAAACCTGTGGTCAATTCTGAGTTATAGATGTTTTGTTGAGGGATAGAAAGAAAGGAAACAGAGATATTTCATGGAAAATATGAGACAATCTTCGAAGAATAATTGACATAGTCAAAGTCAAAAACAAAATGGAAGGATGAAACATTGGAGAGCTGGACGCCATGCTAATAAGATTTACTGAAAGGTGTGACAACACTCGGTTCAAAGTGAAATAATATAAGGTAAGGATAGAGAAATGGAGTCAAGAAAATGCTGGAATCCATTCTGCAGGTTTTCCTAAAGAATTTGCTTTTTCATTTATTCTGAAGGTAATTGGGGCCATAATTCTGGCATCAATGTGGAAGATAACTTAGAAAAGTAACATAAGATAGAGAGATAATTTCCAAATGGCATGTACTAGTTCACAAGAGATGAATGTGATCTTAACCACAAGGTAGCAGTGGGGATGGAGAACAGCATGAGGACAGAATAGATATAGTAAGAAATAGAAATGCCACTGTTGGGATGGTAAAAAGCAGGAGATGGAGCTTGAAGCCATGTCTGTAGATTTCAGTAATTAAGTTTTAACATTTTCCCACTTCCTACAATGGATCATTTTTAATAAAGCCATTTATCACCTAAGTTTTGCAAATTATCCATGACTATACCATTATCACTAGTACTACCAATGAGAAAAGAAAGGAAGGAAATAAGGTGTCTGAATTCAGTCACCCATTTTAAAGTGTCAGAACTAAAATATAAACCCAGAGGCATAAACTACTTTGTTGATAAGTTCTCAAGTTTCAGTGTCATAATCTGTAAAAGGGGCTTATAAAAGTGTCCATCCATCTCAAAAGGATGTTGTGAAAAGTAAATGAGATTATGCTTACAAAGCACGGAGTCCAGGTTAAATCTCAAACCGATTAAGGGGACCATGGCCAGCATCTAGCTACATTCATTGCTGTCAAACCGGATGGGGTCCAGCGGAGGCTTGTGGGAGAGATCATCAAGCGTTTTGAACAGAAGGGATTCTACCTTGTTGGTTTTAAATTTATGTAGGCTTCAGAAGACCTTCTCAAGGAGCACTATATCGACCTGAAGGACTGCCCGTTCTTTACGGGCCTCATGAAATACATGCATTCAGGGCCAGTAGTTGCCATGGTCTGGGAGGGGCTGAACGTTGTAAAGATAGCCTAGTGAAACTCGGGGAGACCAACTCTGTGAAAGCCAAGCCTGGTACCGTCCTTGGAGACTTTTACATCCAAGATGTTCCTTCCATCATTCATGGTAGCGATTCCGTGGAGAGTGCGGAGGAGATCAGCTTATGGTTTCAGCCTAAGGAACTGGTGAATTACAAGCGCTGTGCACAGGACTGGATCTATGAGTGACAGGAGAACAGGCCACAGTGCTTGCTCTTCTCATCTGTTCCCCCTGATCCCATGGCAGGGGGCCAGACTGTAGCACATCTAGTTATTTCTGGAACTTCCTTATAATTTAGAAGGAAATTCTGGAGTTGTGAGTGTTCTCTGTACAGTGTTATGTGCTCCGATCAGAATAATATGCTCAATCCCAGTATAGGGTCAGGTGACATAGTTACTTGGTTAAAACAAAAAAAAAGTGTGCAGTCCAGTGCCTGAGGAAAATTAATCCACAATCTTATTACACCACAATGTAATATGGCAGAACTATAATTATACAAGGAAGGTATGCTTGAGGGTGGGAAAATGGGGATGTTAAATGAGGGAAAGTGAGAGGCCATCAGGTTCTCATGACATTCCTGATCATGCCAAGTGCAAGAAGGAAGAACAAAGGCAGCTAGAGAAGGACTTTACAATTTGGATTGTCTTTCAGGGGAAATGAAAGAAACAGAGGATGCTGAAAGTACTATCAGGAGAGTCTATGAGATGGCTCAGTGGTACAGGCTCTTGTGTACAGACTTGATGTCCTGAGTTGGATTCTTGGATACCACAAGATAGTAGGAAGACAACTGATTACTAAAAGTTGTCCTCTGAAACACACACACACACACACACACACACACACACACACACACATACACACACAACTAAATGAAATTAACAAATAACTTCTTTTTTATATTTTATTTATTTTTTTATGTGTATGAATGTATTGCCTGCATGTAAGTATACTCATGTCATGCAATGCCTGTAGAAGTCAGGAGGGGGAGTCAGATCCTCTAGAACTGGAGTTTCTGACTGTTGTTATCTGCCATGTGTGTGCTAGGAATCAAACTGGGTCCTCTACAAAAGCAGTCAGTACTCTTAACTGCTGAGCCATCTCTCCAGTCCCCATAATTTCTTTTAAAAATACTTTGTATGCAGCAAATTTGAGTGCCACAATGCCATTTAGAGAACTTCAAGTTATATCACTCTTTTTAAATATTTTTAAAAATTTTTATTTTTTATTGAACTTTTGTGTATTTCATACAGAACGTCTTAATCACTTTATATCCCCTTCCCCAATGGCCCCAATCCCCTATCACTCTTTTTTTACATGTTAAATTTATGTGTTAATTAAAAAAATTGAGAATTTCATATGCATGTAAGGTGTTTTGAGCAAATCTATGCCCACTCCCTCCCCTCTAACTCCTCCCATATCTCCCCATCACTTTTTTCTGATAACTTCATGTAGTCTTTCTTCTTCTTCTTTGATTTATTTATTTTTTTAATGGTGCTTTTGGGTACTCTAACATTCCCCCCTCTGAAGAGGTAACCCTAAAATCTTTTAAGGATTAGATGAAGCTCTCAAATATTTTTGAAATTTTTGACCTTTGGAATGGATTATGTTGCTACGAAGCCCAAAGACAGTGTGAGTTTTAGCCAAGAAACTGGCTACTTTTCCTTTGGGGTACTTTTTCCCTAACTGCCTAGTCAATTCCTACCCCTGTTCTTATCACACCGTCCTCTGAAGAGGTTACCCAAATTGCCAATAGGGAATTGGGATGCAGACCACTCTGGCTTTTTTCATGATGAACAGGGATGCAAGATTAGCCAATTGGAGTACCTCTTTAGTGGGTCTGTCTAAAAGACTCCCAAATTGCATAACTCTTATCTCTAGGGGGAAAAGAAAGTCCTTAAATCATGAATAGGAGATGTGAAGGAGAAGTGAAGGCAAGAGTATTAGCATTACAAGTTCTAGACAGGGAACTAGAAAAAAAGCCAAAACAGGGCAATTTTCACATATATCACTCTTATGTAAAGAAAATATAGCTATTAAAATGCTATTGAACGAAAATGGTTCTACTCTTTAATTAACATTTTCAGAGAAGTATTGTTCTTTTCAGTTAACAAGCAGTCCTCTCACATCTTTTCACTCTTTTAATAAATAAATATCTCTATGTACTCTCTAAAGGAAATATACTCTGTCATGCCAATAGATTATCCAACAGTTAGAACTGGGAATGATTTTCAACATTTAAATGAAATAATGTTATTTATTCAAAAGAAGTAACACTCAAAGTAAAAGCTTGTGGACAAACTAAACTAACATACTCAAACCTGGGCACTTACCTACTTGTAGGCAATACATGCATACACATAAAATAAAAATAATAAATACATTTTTTTTTTAAAAAAGAAAGAGTTTCTGTCAATTTTTCATAGTAAAAGAATTCCAGGAAATAGTTTTTCAAATTTGCCATGTCACATACTCCTTCGATTATAGAATTTTGATGGCCATTGATGGATAACTTGTAATTCTTTCTTTCTTGAGAATAAACTGTTGTTTTAACAAGCAAACAATTTACTGTCTTCTCCGTGCTCGGGATTAACAAATCACTTTTGAAACATATTTTGTAGACGGAACATTTCTACATAGGTATCTTAGTGTTCAGTCGGAGAACTGATGGCTCAGTTATTGGCTAGGCTACTGCTAAACGTGATGGCACCAGGAAAGCAGAGGGGCCAGCCTGGTCTACATAGTGAGCTCCAGACCAGCTGAGGCTACAGGAGATTTTATCTCAAAACAAACAAAATAGAACAGGCTCTCTCTAGTTGAATAATTATAACAAAATGCTATATCTTAGTTAAATATTTTCTAAACTATATAAATATTAAAATATACCTGGAATGAAAAATCCTGCTCCTCTTCACAGCTCTTGAAATGCAGTATCTCGGCCAATTTTGAATCGAAGTTGTTTGTCCTTCTGGGGTACCTGTAACGAGAAACTGCTCTTTCTTCCTGGGATTGGCTGTTGCCGTGGTTACAGTTTGTTTGGAAGCTGTGGGCGCTGTCTCACTAGGAAGCAGGGATTTCGCGCTGGTGAGTGTGTAAACCAGGAGCCTGCAGCTCCAGGGTCCGGGGACCCGGTGCGCGGGGGAGCTGGCCTGAGACTGAGCTTCCAGAAGAGAGCGGTGCGCGGTGTCCAGTGTCAGCTCGGGAGTTTCCTAGCTCTTAAAACTTGAAATTCCATCTGCCCAGCTAGAGACACTGTACACCCCATCCCACAATAAACCGTCAGCTCTCTTCCCTTCCTCCCGCCTACCCTCCCCTTTTCTTTTCTTTTTTAACCCACATGAACGTTGTTATTGTTACTTTATGAAGCAGATTTTCCTCCCCTTTTCTACACAGGGGCTGAAGGGTGGAGTTCCTTAAGCTTTCTCACATTAAGCAGCATCGTGGACTACGACCCAGGTCATTATCAACCTGAAGTAGTCTGCTGCGGTTTACTGACTTCTTTGTAAGGAAGCCCTGTCCTTCCTATAAGGAAACCACTGATCGCCCAGTGGCTATTGCAGGGGGGAAATGTGGCTAATACAAATTCACATGTGTTGTGGGAATAAAGTACACTCCAGAGTTTAAAGCTTGATATGCAAATGAGAATATTAAATTATACACAATAATTATATAAAATAATTAATTTAATGATAAATAATTTAGGAATAGACTTAAAAAAACTATTTTGGATAGTACGCTGTTAAACGCATTATTTCAAAATTAGTTTCATCTGTTTCTTGTGTTAAAAATTGCGACTAGAAAATTTAAACTTGTGCTTTAAACTTGTGCTTGCAAGCAAATATAGAAACAGGTTCCTGCTCGTCTAAAGAGCCAGTGGGGGAGGGCGCATATAGAGAAAATTATTTTTACCTTTGTCTTCTTTTCCTGCCTTCTTTCTGTATCAAGTTTTGTGTACTTATGCATTCTATTTTGTAAGCACACTAAAAAACTGTTGGCCTCTTTGAGTTTCACTTTGATTAAATTATAAAGCTTTTTGTTGGACAATTTGTTTTTCTTTGAAGGAGATTGTTGGTAAAATTTGGGCTATTTAAATGAGTCTAAAATTCTACTAGCAGTATATATATTTTAAATGTTTTATTGACCTTTTGTACATTTCATACAACAGTTCTTAATCAAATTTAGACCCCCTCCCCATCCATGCCCTTGCAACACCCCCTCCCCCACTGGACCTCATCCTTGTTAAGTCCTATCCAGTCAAACATTTGTGCCCAGATGTCCTTCAGTGTAAATTCATCCACTGGAGTTTAAGCATATCTAGAGATCATAAGTAAAGCATACTCTCCCTCACCCAGTAGTAATTAGTTTCCATATTTCTCAGTCTAGGGCCAGCCTGCCACCCATACAAGCTGTATATATTAAGAGTTTAAAAGTAGTCATTTAATATATTGTTATGAAATAAAAGTTTAAATTCCTTTAATGTCTTTCAGAAAGAAGTTTCTTTATCTAAAATCACAATCCTTCTCTCTAGAGAGGGAGAGTGAAAGATAATATATATATGTATATCTCAAAAGAGATCTTATTGTGCATATATTTTTCTACTTTTCCAAAATATGTTTCTTGGCTTCTTTTCTATAAGAAAATTATAATAAATGACCTGTTCTCTTAATGATTTGTATTCTGTTTTTATGAAAATTTGTGTAACATTCGTTAGTGACTGCTTAGGATGTCTTTAAATTAACATCTATAAAAATAATTATAAATTTACAACCGGTTTTAAGAAATAATACAAAAATACCCTTGTATGCCTTGTCCAGTGTCCTCCAAAGGTAAAAGTTTATAAACTCTCCCTGAACAGAATGTCATTTATACAATCTACTAATTTTATTTGGATTTCCCTGTACTCTCTTACAGGTTGTGTGTTCAATACAAAGTTGATCACCTAAATACGTTCAGCTTTCTCTGATTGAAATAACTGGATATTATCCCCACTACAACGATCTGTCACATGCCCTTGTCATAAATACAGGCATGTCCCTCCTGCTGTTCCCTAGTCAACTCCTTAACCACCTGTTTTTTGTAACAATGGTTCAAAGGCATCATATAAATGGAAGAAAGTAGCACACACTCCTTTATTTGGCTTTCCTTTATTCATCATAGTTGCATGGAGATTTATCTGTATAGTGATGGCTATTAATAATTTTCTGTTTTTATTGCCAGGCAGTATTCTGTGGGTCATATGATATGCTAGAGTTTATTCATCCATGTATTGATAAACAGTTGTTTCCACTTCAGGACTAGTAGCAATAAAGCTGTCACATACAATCACATATGTTTTTGAATAAATGCTAAGTTTTCATTTCTCAGGAAACACATAGAAAACAGTCATGAAAATATTTGTTGGGAAGAAAGCTACATGATGTCTATAACTAGAAGAAAAGCAAGTACAAAATTTCCCCCCTCAGATTGATGGATACTAGCTTATGTTTATGTGGAAAGGAGTCCAGAGAAATAAAATATCTGATGGAGTAATAGAGACAAGGAATAATGAGCAAAATACAATTTAGTAGGTGAGAAGTCAGATTCAGGCTATAGGTGATTCTTGGTAAAAGGGTTTGACTGGGAGACATTTTAGTGTGAGTTGCACTAACATTGGATGCAGCACATTTGAGTTATCACCCTGTTCCTATTGCTTATTAGCATATTAGATTGAGAAGGTTAAGTCGCCTCTTCAAAGAACAGTTTTCATATATATACAATCATTGCTTGATCTTCAATCTGTTATTTTTTTCTGAATATTTTCAGTTATATGTGAATCCTCTAGCACCTGGTTCTGGGCATCTGTGAACTCATTCTGGCAGTGGTAATGAAGATGATAATGAGGATGTAAAGATATGCTGTTACTGTGCGACCTCTATCCATTTCAAATATTACCAATTTAAATGCAGTGCATTTTAGATTATATTCTCTATATTATTTGTCATAGTGTGCTATGTTTTCTAAGTAAATGGGTATATAAGGCAAAATTGCTCTAATTAGAACTATGAATGCAAAGTGGCCATACATGTCTCTCAGAAATAGATTTGAATCTTTCTCTTAGGTGTATTTTAATCTCTAAATAATCAATGTGTTGAATGATTTTTATGGACTATACTCAAGGACAAGTTTATTTTGAAATTTCTTAATTATGGAAGGTGAGCCAGTCTGTTCCAAATAACTTTCTTCTTAAAAATGAAGGAGCAGTACTGGATTTGAATACTTTGTTGTCAAATATTTTGACAATTAAATGAATAGAGAGGTTAAACAATATCCTTTAAATATATTGCACAGTCTAATAGGATGTGACAACAATTTTTTAAATGTGTGTAAATTAAATGGTGAATTGTATGACAGATTAAGGAACTCATAATTTTTAGAGATATATCAGATTCTTTTTCTTTAAGTTCTATTTTTATCATTAAGGATTATGGAAGACAATGATGATGATGGTGACACAAAACTCAAGGAAGAGGTAGAAGCTGAACTGGACAAAATTAGCATTTCTTCCTTGGGAAAAGATGAGGTTGAAAGTGATTCAGAAACAGAAACTCACAGTGACGATAGCAGTACTGTAAGTTTCATTTTTAAGCTTTTTATCCATAAAGTTTTTAAGGAGAAACCTTACTATCTGTTTTTGCATACATATTTCTATGGCTTAGGATCACTGTTATAAATAACTCTCATTAGTAGATATGAAATTTGAAATTATATCAAATCAAGATGAATTAGAAGTCTCCCTCTGCTTCTTAAAAAGATTTTTTTATTTTTAATTTGTATGGGTATGGATATTCTACCTGCATATATGTGTGTGCACCATGTGGGTGCCTTGTACCCAGAGAACAGAAGGTGCTGGATACCCTGGAACATGAGTTACAGGTGATTCTGAGCCTCCATATGGGTGCTAGCAACTGAACCCAGGTCTTCTGCAAGAGCAGCAGGTACTCTTGAAGGCTTGAATCATCTCCAGTTCCTCTCCCCCTTCTGCCTTATGCCTTGTATTCAGCTAAGATTTTAAGCACAATTTGCATTGTGACGTTTCAAAAAGTCGTTCCACTTTTCTTGTTGTTGTTTTCAATACTTGGCATTGAATTCATGGCTGTGGTCTTGTTAGGCAAGTACCACGTGCTAGACCACCACACTTTCTGCTTTTCTTCTTTGTTAATTATGCTACACTCTTATTACTTAATTATTTTTATTTATTTACATTTATTTTATGTGTATGTTTAAGTTTTGCCTGATGTAAGTGCACCCATCCATTCAATGCCCATGAAGGCCAGAAGTGGGCAACAGATCCCCTAGAACTGGAGTTAGAGACAGTTGATAGCTGCCGTGTGGGTGCTGGGAACTTATACACAGTTAACCTGAGACAAAAGGGCTAACATTTTTTATTTGCATAAGAAGTCTAATAAATGGTAGATTTTTCATTTTTCTAACTTTATACATAAAGGCGAATAAACTTTTAAGCCTCTTCTATGACCTTATTTATCACAAAATCATTTGTTACTATCAAAATAAGTTTATTACAAGGAAAATAAATGATTTTATTAGCTCAAGATGAAAGATTCAAGGGTTAAAATTTTTGGTTCACTGGATATACAACAGTCTCTTTCATTCAGGTGCCTTTAAACAGGCCTAAACCAAGGAATTGGAATCACAGTAAAGGACAGAGAACAAAAGAATAAATCAGGAGTTTCTCTTAAGACCAGAGTTATTATTGGGTCATAGAACTTTACTTGCTTTTCTGTAGTGCCAAGGGGACAATCTAACTGTACATTCTGATATTCATTGTCAAAACTAATAGTGCATTTCATTAGTTATGACAGAGAAAAATTGCCAGTTTCTTAAAACATTAAAACACAGTACAGTAGAAAACGGTGTTTAGTTCAATGATATCATATAGATGTCATGTTGTTCTACATCAGCAGCCTTTATATGGATTCAATTTCACCATGCCAAAGGTCCCTTAGGGAAGTTTGCTGCTTTTGTAGATCTAATTATACAGCTTGTGGACTATTACTGCAACTATGCTTAAATATTATTTCTTTGCCTTATATTTTCTAACAGCAGATAGAATTTACACAGGAATAAATTTCATTTTGACATATTTAGAAAATAGACTGATGTATTAGTCACTTTTTCTGTTTCTGTAATAGAAACACTGACCAAAGCAATTTATAGAAGGAAGAGTTTATTTGTGCTTAAAATTCCAGGGGAATTACAGTCCATCATGTCAGGGAAGCATGGTGTCTGGAGGTGTCTGGAGGTGGCTGGAGCAGGAGCAGCAGAAGCTAAGCTCTCACATCATCACACAGGCACAGGAAGCAAGACAGTGACTGGAGATCTGGCAAGGCTTAAGAACTCTCTAAGCCCACCCCCACTGACATGCTTCCTCCAGGATAGCCACACCTTCTAAAACCTCCCAAAACAGCACCATCATCTGGGGACAAAATGTCCAAAAACTTGGAGCCTATGGGGGACATTTTCATTCAAACCATCACAGCTGACATTAGTATATTGTTAGTTGTTTAGAAAACTTGCAAATTTATTTACATAGGCTATATTTGAAGATGATCTACAAATTCATAAATACAACTGTTAAATGATTATAAAGTAAGTTTTAGAATATATTAAATAATTGCATAGGGTATCAGCTACACATAATATTTTGGAAAAAGCTTTATAGTTTGATTTATATTTGAAAATAATTATTTGGAGTTTTAATTAACATAAAATTATGAACCCTAATGTGGGCATTTAAATACGCAATGTCTAATAGACAATGAAAGTGATAAGTAGGTAATTCTGTTTGTTTCCTCAAGAGTTTTCTAGTAATATGTATTTGCTTGAGAATAGAAATAAAAATTTTAGCAAATAAATTTGCCTGTATACACTTTTATGTGGGCCACTTTTACTACATTTAAACAATCTGCTCAACTTTCGGTGAGAAACAAATAATAAAATATTAGGCATGGAAATTTGATAATTGATTTCATAGTTTTTGTCACTTACACTTTAGGGTTCAGTTGAATTGCCAGAGTCAGTTCTTCACTGTATCAACGTCATCAAGAATAAGAGCAAAACTGCTGAAGAACTCATTCTTCAGGACCTAGAAGACACTGGTATCTTTAGTAAGCACACGTCATAATTTCAGTAATCAAGTTGTGAAAAGTTTTATATCTTATTTTCAAGTTCAACATTTTATCTTAAATATAATATTTACAGAATATTAGACTGCTGGATTCAGTTCATTCATTTCTTCTTAATACTTTCTTCATGTCATTAAGTGTTGTGGACTCCTCAATCTTAATTTTTATGTTCTATTGTTTTACATTAAAGAAAAGAACACTAATCATATGACTTTTAAAAATAAATTGCTTCTGAATTCATTATTTTATGCGTATTGACTGCATGTGTGTAGGTGCACCTGTTTGGCAATGCCTGCAGAGGTCAGAAGAGAGTGTTGAATCCCTGGGAACAGGGGATTTGTGATGGTGAGTCAGGAAACAGAGAACAGGCATGTTGGTGCTCAGCTCACTGTCTTCATTTTTACATTCTATTCTACCCAGGCCCCAAATCCATAGGACGGCTCCCTTCTGATTTAGGGCATGTATTTACCCCTTAATTTCTGAGGTCTTTTTAGGTTCAGTCAACTTAAAGATGAACTATTCCACTAGAATACTTCAAGAGTTTTGCAACAGTATGAGTAGAGATCAGTGAGGTTTGGGTAGCAATGAGGATGTTCTAGAAACCATTTTAAAGAAGAAAGCAGGATTTATTGATGGAATGACACAAAAGGAAGACAGGAAGTGTTCTAGAATTTTTTACTCAATACTGATATGAATGCGCATGTGAAAATTTATTGTAAATGTGTGAAAGTGTGACAGCAATTATTTACACCTGAATGGTGAGAGGTTTAATGGTTTATTCTTTTCATTTTTACTAAGTTTCATATAATGAAAACAAACTAGTAATAATGTAGCCTAATGGTGAAAAATCAATGTGGGAAACAGAGTTGCAGAAAATTAGTTACATGAAATAACATGCAGCTACAGTTGCAGCAATGGTTTAGACAATGAGGAGAAGTCATTTTACATAGCTCTAATCCATGGTTCAATACTATTACTTAAGGAACTGATTATCTAAGAAAACTCAAATCACTAAAGTTGTTTGAAAATTTTATGAAAAAAATTTAATAAATCAAAAATGAAACAAGAATATAGAAAAGAAATGCTTTTTAAGTACCATCAAACTAGGAAAAATTTTGACAATAGATTTCTTTCAGTCCACCAAGAAGCAAAGAATTTACATTAGTTATTTATAAAAAAATATGTCAAATCAACTATAACATAACATATTTATAACATAAAAAAGAAACCTATGTTATAACATAAAAAAGAAAATGAGCGCTATTTTTTTGAGGAATGAAGATCAATGGATTGAGATTCTCAGTCATAGAAAACAGCCACATTAGCTACTTAAGCCCTACAAGCTCTTGTTTTGATGGGTAAAGGGTCTGAATATTTACTATTATGAAACAAAATTAGTGGCTTAGAATAATAGCTTATTGTTACTTCTGTGGCTTATCAGTTATCTGGCTCAACTGGGCGGTTCTACCTTGAATACTTTATATACTTGCTGTTGAATGTTGATTAACTTTGCAATCATCTGAAGTCCTGAGTAAAGTTACATTACAAGATGACTAATTTAAATGCTGGAAATCATGGATTTGTTGGCTGGAGAGTTCAAATACAGCTGTTAAGTGGGGCACATAAATATGTCCTCTCGCTATTTGTCTTTCTCGGAGCATGACACTTAGATTGTGAGCATTCCAAGACAAAATACCAAGACACTATATTAAACTCTTGTGTGTCTTCTTATGCCCAATTATCATAAGTCATTTGGCATCATATCTACAAACTTAATTTTGGTTCTTTATGGGAAGAAGCAATACAGAGTATATATACCACAGAGAATTATTTTTTTGAAGAACCATCTTTGGAGACCAGCTACTAAAATAAATAACAGAATTCTTAACAGGACTGAAGATACAGATGCTAGCATGAATACCCAAGTTTAAATCTGTTCCCTGGAGAACCGCACTACAGCAGAAACTATTGTCCACTATAATTAAGAAGTGCACATTCAATCTCCAGCTCTAAAAAGGAGTTAAGAGAGATTAATTCTCTCTTGTACAATTTTATCTCTTATTCAAAGCTCCTGTCTCACAATATAGGCCATGAAATTGAAAAGATCACCTACTTTTATTCACACATAATGGTTTTATGAAAATAAAAAAAATTATATAAATCCACCTAAGGGCAGAACTTTAATCACTCCCAGTAACTTTGCTGCAAAAGAATTTGGTTAATGTTGGTATTTTCTTTTCATCTTTTTATATAGGAATTAATGTCAGAAAAGTGGTAAATAAATATTGAAGGAGAAAATATATCATATTTGGCAAAATAGATGGGAAGTTAGTTACCCAGAAGAATGGCCCTCTATAAAGATGGTTTGCTGGGCTGGAGGGATGGATCAGCGGAGAAGAACACTGGTTGTTGTTGCAGAAGACCTGGATTTGAATCCCAGCACCCACATGGCAGCTAACAGCTGTCCGTAACTCCACTTCCATCCGACAGCCTCTTCTGTCCTCCGCGGGCATTGCACAACATAGGTGCACTTACCTACATGCAGGCAATACACACATACACATAAAAATACTAAAATATTTTTTAAAAAGATGGTTTGCTATTAGGAAACATTGACATAACACATGTACTAAAGGAAAAGAAATGTAATTACATTTTAACAGATAATAAAAAGAAAATAAAATCCAATTAAACCTCATAAATTAAGGAATAAAATTCATGTCATTCATCATAATATTTGAAATCTTTTAAATTAATTGTATCAAATGTTTTCATCATCTTGTGCAAGATTCTTTTGCCAATTTCCTGCAGGTTGAATTGGACATTCATTAATTTCTATTGAAGGTGTATGTTATTGAGCAGTTTCCTCTAAGATAAAACATTCCATTTTGGATGGAAACTCATTAAGACTCAGGAAGTTCTAAAAGGAGATTCCTTCTGACTCAGGAAGTAAATAGCGCAAAAGCTTCAGTAAGGCCCTGAAACCAAGTACACACTAGCCCATCACTACCCAAGTTTATGTTAGTGGAAAGGACTGAGGAGAGACAATCTCAGACAAGCCAAGCTGCCTTGAAGAGGCTTAAACCAGCAGAACTTCCTGGAAGAAGCTCAGACCAACTAAGCTGCATGTAAGAGACAATTTACGTGTCTGCAAATTGTGCAGTGAGCTTCAGGGCTTCAGGTTTTGTGAGCCATCATCCTTCCTGCAATGGGCTTTTGGTGATGCAGCTGTCTTTGAATCATTTCTGCTCTTGTAAATAACCTCTGAATTTTACTCCTGTGTGTAACACCACTGAACTCATCGGTCCATCAAATTGGACTTTGGTGGTATCTTTGCTAGGTCTTCTGTCCATTTCCTATCTTGGTGAGTAGATGATTGTTCACTTCTCCCTAGGAATAGTGTCACACACATTGTATCATTGAGCTAAGCATGATTCTGTATGCATGGGGAAATAACTCCTCAGTGTAGAATATGAAAATAACAATGAACGCTTTGGAACTTATGAGTCTTATTTTCCAAATAGTAACAGCAAACCTCTTGTCATTTCTTTCTACAACACTATTCTGATCCATGAAATTATTGTTACTGATCAAGTTTGTCAATAAAAATTAAGAGAGAATGGTAATGAAAAATTTGAGTTTTTGAAATGCACTCTAATATTTGAAAATAAAGTTGTCTTTTCCTTTTTCTAGGTTGTAGTTCTGGCACAGCTTCTAGCAATCATATGCATTTAAGGATAGGATCATCAAGAGAACTGAAAGGAAATTCTGAGCAATTAATGAGGGTATGAATTTAATACATAAATGAAAGTGCTCAGTACTGCATTTAGAAACATCTTTTTCTTTTATATATGATGACAGTTTCTTTACTTCAAATTCCCTGATTCACAATTAAACCATTTTTATTTTAAGCAAATATTTTTTGGCTCATGGTTTCCTCTGGCATATTATATAAAACTATACAATTTCATTCATTAACGATGATTTCAACCATTAGTATTTTGGAATTAAACATTCATGTACACAAAACAGTAGAACTGTATTGCATTATATAATTTTCTGAGCAAAACAATGAATATATTCTAGTGTTGCCTTTCTATGAACTTAATGTTCTAGCGGTGTCTAAATACAGCATAGAAACTTTAAGTGTAGAATATTTTTATTTTACATTTGGAAAACAGACAAAGGATCAAAATTCTGGGAAAAAATAAGAGTAAAAGAAATTTTAGCATTTTATAGATTGAAACCTCTCAAATATATTTCGGAGAAAGTCTCTTTTACAGATTTTCTTTTTAGATTGTCTGTGCTCTTTTTCTGGGCACTTTTCTTACTTCATGAGTTTTAGCATGCCTTGAAACTTACTTAGATCTTTCTTACTCTCTTTTGCTAACACTCATTTTGAAATACTAATTTCGAAAGACATTTCTTTTCCATTGCAATACCCTATGTAATTCTGAAAAGAGTATAGTGGAAATGTAATTATGGAAAAGTATTGTTCAAGATTATTACTATCCATAATTCAGATTTAAGAACAGTTCTGTTTATATTGTACTGAATATGCTACTAACTTATTTGCATATATGATCATTGCAAATAAGAAATATGGAAATGCATCAGGAGGAAAGACAGTAACACTTTGAAGTGAGTATCAAGACACAGTAAATGAATATTATAGACTATACTGATGACTAATTAGTTTGGAAAATATCTTTCAATGGTAAAATATATTCTCTTTACATGAGAAAACAAGTTTTCTTCATAAATAAAATGATTATGTATTTGAGAGCAGTTAGAAATAAATAAAATTATCAGTATATGTGTAATTTAAACATTATTAAAATCATGTTTTTATCCTATTTTAGTTTTCTTTTATAATTTTTAATCTTTTACCCTTTCAGATATTATCTGGAATAGAAAAAGAAGAATTTATAAGAAGTCAAATCCATTCTGCTATGTCCATTTCTGTTTCTGAGATTGATCCTGTTGATGAATCCATGGATGAATGTGTTTTACCAGGTGGGTAGTCTTGTCATTGATGTGTTTTGCAATTTCAATGTGCTATATCATAAAAAATCTCATGAAACTTTCTTTTGGCACTTATAAAAGCACAGTTATAAAGACGGCAAAATATTGGAACTAGGGTGATGACTCAGCTTTAAGAGCCCTGGCTTCTCTTGCATAGGATCTGTGTCTTATTCCCAAAACCCACATGGTGACTAACAACCATCCATAACTCCAGTTTCAGGAAATCTGATACCCTCTTCTTACCTCCCTTAGCATTGCATGACACAGGTACACTTACACACATCACATGCAGGCAATACACTCATATATATAAAATAAAAATAATAAATAATTTTTTATAAAAATTGAAAATTGACTCAATAAACTACTTGCAAACTGAATTCTTGAACACATTAAAAAACCATTTGCCACGATCAATTTGGCTTCATTCAAGGATGGTTCAACACATATAAATCAATAAACGTAATTCACCACATATGTGTGTACTGAAGTACGAAAATCACATGATCATTTGAATTTGCGCAGAAAAAGCCTTTAACAAGATCCAACATCACTTTATGAAAAAAAAGCCCTGGAGAGAGTAAGGATGAAGGAGCATATCTCAACATAATAAAGTCTATATATGACAAACTAGTAGTCAGCATCATGTAAAAGAGAGAAAATCTCAAAGCCTTCCCATCAAGATTTAGAACAGGACAAGTGTGTCCACTTTCACCCCATAGCTTCCATATAGTGGTCGAAGCTCTTGTAAGAGCAATGAGAAGAAAGAAGGAAAAGGTAGCTGTTGATTACCCCAGAGATAAAAGTGTCACTACTGCAGCAATGCCGTTTGCTGTGCCGGTCACTGACATGTTTATAAGGCCTTATAGCTGGGGTTGGGCTATTCATTAATGTCCTCCCTTGAACCTTAACTTAAATGATAGAATGCGTGAATTCCAGCGGGGGTGAGACTATTGGAGTGTACCAGTGTGGAAGCGGGTATAAAGATGATTAAGAGGTTCTGTATGAAATACACAAATTTCAATAAAAAAGTTTCCAAAAAAAGAGGATACAAATGGAGTGGATACAAATAGGAAGGGAGGAAGTCAAAGTGTCTCTCTATATGGCATCATTTTATGTGTGACATACCACAAAGGTGCCACCAGGAAACGCTTTGAGCTGATAAATACTCTCAGAAAAGTGGCAGATAATAAAATTTCATACCAAAATTAGTAGCCTTCCAAAGGACCAAAGAAAGACTGAGACAAAAGTCAGAGAAACAGTTTCATTCACATTAGCCTAAGAAACACCTTGGAATAAGCCTAAAACAGTAAGTGAAAAATCTATACAAATGAAAACGTATAAGTTCTATGAAGAAAGAAATTGAAGACACTAGAAGGTAGAGAGACCGCCCATGTACGTGGATTGGTAGGATTAATTTTGTGAAAATGGCCATCCTACCAAAAACAATTTACAGATTCAATGGAATTCCCATAAAAATTCCAACACAATTCTTCACAGAATTGAGAAAAGTCTTAAAATTTATATAAAAGCATAAAAGAACCTGGATAGCCAAAATAATCCTAAATAGTATCTCTTAATTGTATCACTTAACTATATACACACAGAAAGAGAAAGAGATGGGGGGAGAAACCATGCTATTTTAATTTTTAGGGAATATTTTAAGGTAAGGCATTTGACCTTTTTATTGACATAATGGAATTTCCATGTGTCTTCTGTCTAGATCAGTCATGTTCAGTGTGATATGCTGTAGACATCTGTGAAGGTTTGAATGAGAGTGTTCCCCATAGGCTCCAAATATTTGGACATTTTGTTCCCAGTTGGTGGAGCTGTTTTGGGAGGTTTTAGGAGGTATGGCCTTGCTGGAGGGAGTGTGTCACTGGGGCTGGACTTTGAGAGTTCTTAAGCCCTGCCAGATTTTCCAGTCACTCTTTTCTTCCTGTACCTGCTTGACGATGTGAGTACTTCTCTTTTTACTCAGTCACCTTTTGCCACCATGCCTCCCTGCCATGATGGACTCCAGTCCAGATGGAATTATAAACACAAATAAATGATTTTTTCTGTAAGTTCCTTTAGCCAATTTTTTATCACAGCAATAGAAGAGTAACAAATAAAACATCCATGCTCATTTCAAATATATTTTCTTTTTTTGTATTGTCACTTTTTATGTGCACAATAATTTTTTGGTTTGACATTACTTTTATAAGTTAAAATAAGTCTGTCTTGATAGGTGTAATCTCAAGAACAGTCCTTTTGTTTCTCTGAATGAATGCAGATGATGCTGATATGAAGTTTGGATACTTTGAAGTAGAAGAAAGATGTAGAAAGTCTTTTGAAGCTTGGCAAGACAAACAGAAAGAACTAGAAGACCAAGATAAAGAATGTCTTAAAGCTCAGAGGGATATAGAAAACAAGCAATTTGAAGAAGAAGAAGAAAAGAGACATTGCTGGATAAAACAATTTGAAGCTGAAAAGAAAAAATTAGAGAATATTCAGAAGGTACAGTTTGTTCTGCATCTTATTATGAGCAGAGCTACCTCTAAAATACTGATGTCTGGAGTATGATACAGAATTATTTTGTGCCTTTTACTTGTTCTTGATCATTGAAACAGCTGTAACAAATCTTAGAGCAGTTTTACCCAATATCTCAACCTACATTATTAGCAAAAGAGTAAATTGTCTTACATCAATCACAGTTTCCATCTTTTCTGCCAATTCCCCATGTTACTGTCTAAATACTGAAACACCTTAATAATTTGAGTTTCTTGTAGCTGTGATGAAACACCTGATGAAAGCATCTTTAGAAAGGAAGGGGTTATTTGGGCTCACAGTTTAGAGGAAAACAGTTAATAATGGCTGGAAAGGCATGGCAGCTGGAACATGAGGTGATTGGTCACATTATATCCATAGTCAGTAGTCAGAGGGGAACAGGCTAGTCAGAACAGTCAATGATGCTGTTCATCTGGCCCTTTCCTTTTCATTCAGTCCAGGATCCAAGCCCATGGAATGATGCTGCTCACATTTAGACTGTGTTTCTACTTCACTTAATCCAGATTTGAAACTCTATCACAGACATCACCAGAGATCTGTATCCTGCGAGATTCTAGAAATTGTCAGGCTGATAGTAACACCACCACCTGCGGCTTTAAACTTCCTCCTATAATTATTATCATAATTATTATCAGTATGTTCAGTTGTCTCCAGTGCTTAAAATGAAATAAAACAGAGGCTGGAGAGATGGCTCAGTGGTTAAGAACACTGACTGTTCTTACGGAAGATGTGTGTTCGAATCCTAGCACCCACATGGCAGCAAACGAATGGCCAAAACTCCAGTTCCATGGGAGCCAACGGCCTCTTCTGTCCTCTGTCGGCATTTCACTATACGGGTGCACTTGTATATATGCAGGCAATACAAGTGCACAAATAAAACAAAAATAATAAAATATTTTAATAAAATAAAACAAAACAATAAATTATGTCATCACCTTTATCATGTCTCACTTTAGCTACTTTTTAATTCTGCTTATGACAGACAACTTCCTAAAGAATAAATTTTTGTGTCAATGTTCTCTCATCTTTTAAATGTCGTTTAACCTGGTAGGTCTGATGGACCCATCATATAAAACTACTGTTGAAAAAGATAGTCTATGATCTCTAAATACCATTTCACAGCTTCCTTCTCGCTTCTTAATTTGGCTTCTGAACCAATTTAGTCCAGTAAAATTTTTATTTATTTTTTAACAATTTGCCTTCTTTTGGATTACTCCAAAAGTGTATCTTTTGGGTATACTCTCTTCTCTTGCCATATGATTAAGACTTCCTGATCTAAATTCAGTTTTAGACCTTTTATCCTTCTGCCATTGCATATTATAGTACCAAAATTTTATTCTTTTTTAAATTATTTGTTTAATAACCACATACTAAGAGGAAGCATTTCATGACAACAGCGTTGACATATTCAATAACAATTTCCAGAGCTAAGATTCATCTCTTTCAAAATTGGCTGTAAATTTTTAGTTTTACAATTGAATTATTACACTATTGCTTTGAAGAATTATTATCTTTTAATCTTTTTTAAAATTTTTAATAACTACATGATTAGAAGAAGCCTTACACTATAGCTTTAACATATTCAGTAAAACACTCCAGAGCAAGAGTACATCTCTTTCACAAGTGGGTGCAAGTTTCTACGTTCACAGTTGAATTAATACAGTG